GCTTCTGTCTGCATTCTGCATGATTCAGACCCGGACCCTGCTCTGACATGTCTGCGAGTATATTTTGGGATCTCACCTGTTTGAGTCGTCGGCCGCGCGCGTCCGCTGAGTGCAGCGGCTGAACGTCCATTTGGGCTTGGATAGATCACTGCCTGGCAGTAGTCCCATCTGAAGCTTAACTGAACTTTTTTTACCTCTTTCAAAGCCGGTCAGCGCGCGGTGAAATGGCTGTGTGCGGCTGGTGATTGTATGGCAAGCCATGTTGCCATATAATTGGATCGTCAGCCGCACACATCCGCTGACTCAATGAAAAGGCAGACACTGACCATGCCCGCCCATCCAGCACATTATTATGGCCCGTCCCCAATTCGTGCCATGCCGGGCCGGTCTTTGGGTCTGGGTTAGAAATGACAGCTCTACTCTGCTTTACATTACACAACCTAATAAATGCTTTGTACAAAATCAGTTTAGTGTTAACTGATCATAATAAAGACTAAACTTGTGCAACCAGAAGTTGCAACATAGCTATTTCTTCATACAAAACATACAAAACAAAGCACAAGTAGCTTTAAGCAGTAACCTTTATTTTAACCATTAAGCATACAATGTAGTTATGACCGAAAATAGAAGGTTTACCTGCAGTTACTTTCACACTGATGAACATGTGGTACTTCCTGTTTATCACTGTTGTATTCAGCTGCTCATGAGGTCGGTCGCAGGGCTTTATCATCTTTTACATTTTTCCAGACTCGGTTTAGGTTTAGGTCAACTAAACTGCTCAGGGGGCCACAGTTACTGAAAACCAGCAGCTCAGGGGCCGGACATCCAGCAATTAAAGTCTTTATGTAAATAAACCAATATTACAAGGATCTGCTATTTTTTAAATGTGTTTATTTTGTTGCATTGAATCATAAATGCAATAAACAGAACCCAAACCCAGAACTGTTAAAAAAAAAAATAATAATAATAACTTTATTTTTCAGGATGCTGAGTTAAACTTTTAGGGGTGTGTTTGAGCACACCTCAAAAAGAGGCTAAAATCACCACTTGCTATAAAACTAACTTCAGTAAATGATTATGGTTGTTCTATACTGATACATTTTGATATTTATCCAATTCACATAGGTGTTGTCCTTCTTTAGGTTTTGCTTTATAGTTTGTTGTTCTGTTTTAATCGTGATTCATTAATTTTTTTATTTAACCCTTTATTTTCACTCAGGAATACATTGAGGGTGACCCTCATTTCCAATGCAGTTGAGCATTTATAGTTAAAGGGGATTAAAACATATAAATAAGAAATTTAAACTAATAAGGATAAAATTAAATGGAAAAAAGAATATTTGATATAGAGGAGAAAAAAGAAATGAAACACAATTAAAACAGTCACAGGCTTTGTGATATTTACATGAAATGCTCAATTCATTCAAACATTTTATATAAACAAGAACAAATCTTTCATCCTAAAGTATTCATTAATCATCCTCCACATAGCTTCTTTTCTCTTTAGGGTCGGGTCCTCGGCCTCGATGGGGACGGCTGCTGTGCCCCACTGGTGGAGTTCAGCGCAGCACACCCAGAAGTGACGCACACCCCTGGAGGTCCTCTGAGGCCTGGGTGGCCCCTGAGGCCTGGTCTACCTCCGTGTCCCCTCTCACCCTGTTTCCCAGGCTGGCCGTTAAAGGCTCTGCCAGGATGTCCACGCTGACCTGTGATGGAGGCAGAAATGTTGTTTAGTCTTCAGGCTTTACAGTCTGCTCAGTCAGCTGAGTAAGGCTGTTTCTACAGATCCCAAGAGAGCACTTTCAGAGAAATGAGTTTCTTTCTGTTTTTGGCAAAGGAGACATTATGCACCCAATTTCTCTCATATTTAAAGCTCAACAGCAGTTCAGTGCAAATTTGACGTATGAAGTTGAAATTACCCTTGGACCCCTGATCTCCGGTGAAGCCTGGTAAGCCATAACCTTTGGCTCCTTTATCGCCTCGCTCCCCTCTATTACCTGTAATCATCCACAAACTTTTATCAGGCACGACAGCAAAGAGATAGACTTACTATTCCTCTGAGTATCAGCTCAACTCAGATCATTCATGTTGATGAAAGATATACTTTTACTGCAATCACTGTTAAATCACTGTTTGGGACAACTTGTATACATTCTTTGATTTTACTGGCCTTGCATGGAAATATTATATGACTGAGACATTAAGTGATGGCCTCATAACATCAGGTTTTAAAACATGTTCAAGATTCCAGACCAAAACATCAAATCACATGCAATTCCAGGAAGTATGGTGATCAGTTGGAGCAGATTTCAACAGTGCAAAGGTCATGGATCCAAAACCAAACTAAAAACAAGTAAATACTAATATGATGCAACAGATTTGATTCCTTTTGTCTTTTCTTTTATACTCTAGGTCTTAGGGTTTATGAAGCATTGTAAAGCTTTTGTTAAAATTCTATGCAGAGATGGCAAACTTGAATAAAAGCTACAGAAATCCTCTGTTTTATTTAGGGAGGAGAGGACAGCAGCCACCACGACCATCTTAAAATAATCAGTAACAATATATAGTATTATTTACTATTAAATCTGAATGTATCTGTTTATATTAGTTTATTTTATTTATCTTCATTTGCATTAAATCTTTATCCTTGCTGTCACTTTTTGACACTGTGTGTTGTTACTGTCTTTTTCTCTCCATCACCTGAATGATGCTGCTGGACTTTTAATTTCCTTGAAGGAATCTTCCCATGAGATCAATAAAGTTTAATCTACCATTTAATCTAATCTAATCTAATTTAAAAGCGCATAAACTGGTTACAGTGTGTAAAAGCTCCACTTTTCTTTTAAATGTGAAATACTGGACTTGATTCAAATTTGCTTTTAGTAACAAACTATTAGTAAAGTGAAAAAGTTCTAAAATCCCATAAACACTTTGTAATAGATGTTGGACAAGCTTGGCAAGTAGAAGGAAATTGGAGATGGCAAAACAAAGCAAAATTCTGACAAACTATACCTACATGTACACTCGATAATGTATTACTGTACTCAATAATGTATACATAATGTACAGCTGAGTTGCTTTTGAAGTGTGGAGAAGTCTACACAAAACTCCCCTCAAACACCCTGGAACAATGCAACCGCAAGATGTCTTGCAGACCGACCGCGGTCCTGGGGAGAACCATTCCCTCCCCTTAAAGTTTAAACACCGGCCATCTCTGCATCGTATCCACAGGGTAATGAGTTCTGTGACTCCTGGTGAGGTGAAGTCTCTGCCTTATTTTGATGAAGAACCAGCAATTTGGAAATAAAATAAAACTTCCTTCCACTCGTGGAGCCTGATCTCCACAGTGCCAGCTTAATTTTTAGACTTCATTTTAGTTCACAAACCCCAGATAAGTTTTACAAACTTCTTTTAAACTTAGTCCCATATTTAGGTAACATCTCTGCTCAAAGGTCAAAGCTATTTTTACATCATTCAGTTTTCTCTGCAATATTACGGGTCATTTTACATATGCTCCACGGTTTAAATACATATAGTTGTCAATAAATGCATGCATCATGACTTTAACATAATCAAGTGCCGGGTGTTCAATTTAAGCAAGAAATCATTTGCGTTTTGATCAAGTAATTAGTCCCCATCTGTTCTTTTACATGATTATATATTCCTCTATATGATTTTTGTTCCACATACGATAATGTATGCTGTATTCATTTATAACCTTCTGCTCACCACAGACTCATGTTCGGGCTGCTGTTGATACGCCGTATTGTTTTACATTATTAGTGTTTAGTGTATATCTTAGATCCTTATATACCGTTTCTGTTTATTTTGCTATTTTTGAGTGTAACTTGGACCATGTGTACACAGTTTTGTTCCACCTCATGTACCACATGTGATGCGAATGACAATAAACTTGACTTGAACTTGATTAAGAGGACGCCACACGTTTGCAGCATGTTGCCCTGACTGAGTCAAGAATCAAAAGTTTCATCATATTCATCACAAGTTCCTTCCTACAACAAGCATTAACAAGTTATTGGTTTGCTGTTGAATAAACTTCCACACCTGTTTCTCCTCGTCGACCAGGATCTCCAGTTTCTCCATAAATGCCCGGTGGGCCCATTTCTCCAGCAGCACCGTCATTACCAGGATCCCCCTGACAACACCATCACCAGGAACATAAATCATAAACCAATTACTTGTCTCCACTATAAATTCAAAATGTGTTTTTTTATTTGTATTTATTTATTTTTTTCAACTAATGTGGTGCATTCAGTTCATGTTTGTAATTTTCTTTACGAAAAACTCTGAAATGAGGAACGCTGTTTGGTAGCATTGCATCACTTGTTTTGGCATTTTATGTCAAAACATCAGGCTTACCAAACATAATCTAATATAGTGGAATATTTTTATGCAGCCACGGCTTTAAGGATATTTATCAGCCTCAGACTCGTTGTGATCAGGAGTTGCGGAACATGAATAGATTCAACATTGTATAATAATGTGAAAAAGGCTTTCCAATTGAAAATCAGCCAAAGAACCATTCAACACAGACCAAGTGTCTAGTCTGTGACTCCTTATTTGTTCTCATGGAGACGTGGAAAATTGTAATGTTTTCATTCCAAGCTTTTCTGCCAAATACTTCAGCTCTCTTTAGTCCAGTCCAGACCCTCACAATGTGGTAGCATTTTGCTCAGCAAGACGGAGCAAAATGAAAAGTGTGTGTACGTACGGACACTTTGATGCAAAAAATCTGTAGGCAACGAAGTGTTAGGAAAAGCTGCAAAGTTAGGCCTGATAACAAACATCCAGTCTGTGGAACTTACAGGAGGTCCTGGGGGTCCTTTCTGTCCAGGGGGCCCTGGAGCACCCATGGGAACATCCCCGTAGAGAGGACAAACAGCAGCGCAGGTCCTCTTCACTGAGTTAGCAAAGGTGGACATCTGCTCCAGGACCACTTTCTTACAGACCTCGATCACATGTGCGACAGGGAGGCTTGGGCCCTGTAAGAAATCATTCCCAGATTCATCAGTGGTGGCCATCGAACTGCCTCTCGGGGAATGTAGTGAACAAAGGCAGCAGGATTACTGGAGGCTCACTTAAAGCTCCTTTAAATAAAACCTTTGCAGCGTCACCAACAGCTGTACACAGACCAAAAAACACATTCATAACTAATTTGTGACCAAACAACGTGTGGGCCTTTTAGTCTGACAACTAGAGCAAATCATTTCTCTGTTGTTGCTAAACACTGTGATGTATCTGTGAGTCGAAAGGACATTTTAAGAAAATTGTATTTTACTTACAGGGGGGCCTGGAAGTCCCTGAAAACCATCCGGTCCTCCCTCACCTCGGATCCCTTTGACTCCAACTGGACCTGAATGACCAGGTGGACCTGCAGGGCCACGTTCCCCTCGTTTCCCCTGAGGACCCTGGTCACCCCTGTCCCCATCCTCCAGAAGGACGAGGTCCACGACAGAGCATAAGAACAGTTAGAACATAACGGGTAGCCACTGTTACATGAACACAAACTCTCTACACCTTTTACGTCAGGCTGATTATTAACATTACACTAACGAAAACACAAAATCAGAGTGAACAACCAAACATGACCATGGTCTGGATAGTGTAAAGCCTGAAATATTTACAATCTGAAAGTGTGTTTGAAAGCATTAAAAAAGCCAAAACTGGTGAACATCTGAAAAATGAGAAAGGCTCATTTGGGTGTCATTGTAGGCGTTTCTGCTCTTATCGGATCTGCAGATGTTCTGAATATGTAAGGAATGCTGTTCGATGGATTCACATTGAATTTTTCCAACTATTAACTTGCGACTGGATGAATTTGGATGGATTTCTTAACCAAAATCCAGGCAGTGATATCATATTTAGAAGAAACCCCACATCTGCGTGACTACTCCCTTTAGCGACACAACTTGGCACCACCAACACGGTTTGTTTTAGCATTACTTTTCTAGCATGTCCAGTTTATGAGATGTGCCAAGATTTTCAATTTTATATGATAAGATAATTGCTTTTAGGATAAGATCACAGTTTTATATGGTAATTTAGTCTTTCAGTCGAAACACAGCTTACCCTTCCCTTTGGGCCTTTAACTCCATTTTTTCCCTGTAAAAACACAAACCAATGTTGATCAATCAAATCAAATAGAGGTAATACGGGAACAGAGAGGAAGAGATATTTCATATTTAACGGCATACCTGTGCACCTTTTCCTCCTCTGATCCCCTGGATCCCTGTGTCCCCCTGCACACAGCAAATTAAAAGTAAGAAGTGTGCCAAACATTGAGAGGTTAGCAAACTATACCGGAAAAAAGGCATTGACCAAAAAGACAGATGCCAGTTGACTATTTAATTACGTAACTCTAAAGATGAAAATAACTTGTCACAAATAACCTGACAAGAGTCACGCATCCAGGTAAAGTAGAACCAAATATTTAAGTAATAAGTTAAAAATGAACAACTACCTGTATATGATTAATACATTTCTATTTATTAATGGGATACAAACAAAACTCCAAGGATAATCAGTTTACCAACATTTAAACTAGAAAAGGGTTTGTTGCTTCTAAAATAGTGGTTTAGTCTGAATAATAAACCTATTCTGTTTTCAAGCCATGACTTGTCAAATATAAAAGCTTTGAAATCTTTCTTGTCACATTTATCACAATTTCACCATTTTCACTTATATTTAATAAACTCAAGTACTTTGTAATAAATAAAGTGCCATCATTGTATATTTACATCCATTGGCAAAATTAGTTCTCTACATTTAACCCATCACATGTGAGATACACCCAGGTGGAGCAGTGAGCAGCTATGTAAGCACCTGGGGATTAGATTTCTTGCTCAAGGACACTACGATATGTGGCCATGGCGGGAAGTTGAACCTGCACCTTTCTGGTCCCAATTCGGCTGTCCTACCTTTACACCACAGCGGCCCTTAAATTTGCTAGACTTCAGTAAAAGTGTCAGCAGGGTCAAAATTAAATTTGAAATAAGACTGCAGACTTATTTCCTTGTGGCGATGTCACTGTCATTGCTGCTTAATGAGGGCTTTTCACAGAGTGAAGACTTGATCCTTCAAACATGATTAATGTTGTCATTTGGTGGATTTTCACTCAAGCCATCAAGTAACTTTGATGATTAACACAACCAAACACAGACTCATAACATGATAACCACTGAAGAAAAATGTACTAATCTCACACTTGACACTGACTTCAGTCTTCTGGGTGGAAAGCCTGTGTGTTTTTGCATTACTACACAAAGCTGTGTCAGATGATTTCAAGACAACATGATAGACAAGTGGTTAGCACTGTTGCCTCACAGCGAGAAGGCACTGAGTTCAATCTCCGGTTTTGACCAGGGGTCTTTTTGTGTGGAGCTTGCATGTTTTCCTCATGTTTGCGTGGGTTTTCCCCGGATACTCCGGTTTCTTCCCACAGTCCAAAAACATGCGTTAGGTTTCCTTCAGGCCCAGGCCTCCTTTGCAAAAGAGATCTGTGATCTCATTGGGATTTGCCTGCTTAAATAAAGGTTAATAAATAATAAATAAAATACTTTCATACACTGTACTTCAAATTTTTTTCCCAGACTGTTTAAAATCAGTTTTATTATTTCTAAATGTTGAAGATTTCAGACTTTCTTGTGTGGAAACGTTCATGCTTTTTATTTCTGTGGGACTAGTCAGTTTAGAGCAAGTTGGGATGGGATTACAGGTGCAGCATTATAGTGGTTTCTTTCTTACATAAGTGACAGGAGTTTGTGTTAAGGTTGGACATAGTGAATCTGCATCTGTGTCTCTTTCCTGTGGGGTCCCACAGGGCTCGATTTTTGGACTTCTTTTGTTCTCACTCTATCTGCTCCCTTTGGGGTCCATCCTGAGGAAACATGGTATTTCATTTCACTGTTATGCTGATGATTGTCAGATTTATCTGCCCTTAAAACATGACACAGTTCTTGTTTCATTCACCCTCTGTTAAAATGTCTTGATGACATCAAGGCATGGATGGCTTCAAGTTTTTTCTAAGCTTTGATGATCAGAAAAAAATGAAGTAGTGTTTAGCTCTAGCTTTACCGCTGTCTCTGATCCTGTGAATCTTAACTTTCTTCAGCCATATCTTAAGCAGTCTGTTATGAATCTTGGGATGGTTATGGACTCTGACTTTAAGTTTAATAAACAAATTAACTCTTTTCTACAAAAAAGCTTTGTCCAGTTAAGGCAAAGAGCTATGCTTAAATCTGTGTTGACCAGACTTGACCTTGAAAAAATAGTCCATGCATTTGTTACAACCCGGCTTGACTGTTGTATCATGCTTTATGTTGGGGTCAGTCAAATCTCCCTTCAATGTCTCCAGCTCATCCAAAATGCTGCAACTCGGCTATTAACAGGAACTCAGGTTTGAGCACACTTCACCAGTTTTGTCCTCCCTTCACTGGCTCCCTGTGTGTACCAGAATTGATTTTAAAATTCTCCTATTGATCTTTAAGTGCATTAATGGCCTTGCACCCTCATATCTCTCTGAACTACTTCAACCATATGTTCCTTCTCGGACGCTGTGATCATCTGACCAGCTGCTTTTGGTTGTACCAAAAACCAGGTTGAAGCTCAGATCGGGCTTTTTCAGTCCTGGGCCCTAAACTCTGGAACAATCTGTCCCTCACATTAGACAGGCCACTTCACTCCTTGCTTTTAAATCTCTCCTAAAAACACACCTGTTTTCACTGATGTTTAACGCAGTGTGATTTGATTTACCAGTACTATTTCATTGTTTCTCTTTTTTGTTTGTTTTTACGTTTTTATATTTTTGATGATTTAATGCTTCTTGTTATTATTATTTCCTTAATTACTGCCTTGATCTTATTATGAAGCACTTTGGTAACAACTGCCGTTTTAAATGTGCTTTATAAATAAATTTGACCTTGACTTTGACGTTGTTGTGCAGTGTAGTGCACTTGTTCTAATGGAGACCTGAGGTAACACTGAAACAAACTGTTTATTTACTGTTTTTTCACTATAAACACACTGGGTGACAGTATAGTGATAAAAATTGATAGGTCTCTTCCTTATGTGCTCATAAAATTTCTAAGGGGTATAAGGAAGGCTGTCCAGTGACTTAGAGGATCCCTTTGTTGATTTCCTAATAATGCAAGGACTCTTTCCAGGAAAAAGTCTTGGTTTGGAGTGGGAACACATCTGCAAATCTCACATTTTATGTGGTTTTGACGACTCAGCAAATAACTCCCAAATAGCCACAGTAATTGCGCTATTAAACATTTTGCCCTTGTTTTACATGTCTAATGAGTGATGGCTACAGGATGTGCTACCTTGGGTCCTGGTTTTCCAGGAACACCTATGTGACCCTGTAAAGAGAAAAAGTGCATTCAACATTTGAGGAAAATTAACTAGTGTTCAGAACAGTAAAGAAAATTCATCTGGAGCACTTACAGTAGGTCCAGCTGGGCCAATAAATCCTGGTCTTCCTGGCTTTCCTGCAGAACCCTTGTAACCTCTTGGGCCCTTGAGAATAAAACGTTTATAAAGCAGCCAAAGGAACAGCTTTAGTCTTTGTCGCTTCCCTTTAACATGGCAAACTACTTTACAATCCAAGTGTAATATGTGCTTGTCTTCAGTCACTGAAGTGCCTGAAAATGTGACTTACGGTTTGGCCCTGGGGGCCCATTTCTCCTGCTGGCCCCAGGGTACCCTTTTCCCCCTGTAAAAGACACAAACGGCAATGAAATAAGCTGCCAAACAAAGCTCAATTTCACGTTTATTTACAAAAATCAAGCAGAGATCAGACCTTTACTCCACTATGTCCATTTTTTCCACTGGGACCTTGTGGTCCTTGATACGCCTGCAAGAAAAAGTTGGTATTTGCAGAATAATGATAAACAAGCATATATTCAAAAATTGAAGCTAAAAGTGTCAAACAGAACCTTATACCTCGATTCCTGGATCACCGTCTCTACCTGGTAAACCTGGGTCTCCAATAATACCCTAGAAAGATATGACCATCGATGTAAAAATGAATAAATATTCTGAGAACATAAATATGTTCTGGTTTTATCAGTGGTGAATTACTTTTGGTCCAATGGTGCCAGCTCTGCCCCCAAGTCCTTGGATACCCTTTTATTTTACAAGTTCAGACAAAAAAACTTTTCATCAGTAACCAGAAAACATTAAAAGCTTTTATAAATCAAATCAAACTATGGTAATTTTGATTAATACGTGATACTCACGGGCTTCCCCTTCTCTCCAGGAGCTCCTCTTTCCCCAGGATCCCCCACGATACCCTGTTCACCCATCAAATGCAGACATATAAGTCAAAGTGTTACACAATGTCCAATAAGAAACATGGTGAACGAGGGAGTCCTCTTTCATATACAGAGCAGATTATCACTGTGGCTCAGGCTCTTCTTTTAGTGACTCACCAGCTAATGTTGGGATAGTTCAGGCCTTCAGAGCATTGCCAAAATCCAGCCACATGAACTAATGTTGTTTATGGAGACGGCACATCAGCCAAAAGCGTACTGTACTTTGATCCCAGCGTTTTACCCCATCAGAAATGATTTAATAGCTATTTGTGGTCACATGAGGGGATTTTGAAGACAAAGTATCAAGAGTTTCCTAATGTGGAGCAGGGAATCCCACAACAACCCACCTGCTTTCCTCTGGAGCCAAGCCGCCCAGTTGCGCCCATCGTTCCCTTTTGGCCCTAAAATTTGAACATGATGAGTTTAAATGATTTAAAACAAAAAGAAAAAAAAAAGATACAAGATGAAAGGAAACATACCTTTACTCCTTGAAACCCAGGAATCCCTCCATAGCCTTTAAGACCTTTGGTGCCCTTAATAAGGGAAAAACATCAGTAATTGCTTAATTGTTTTTAACATGGCTTACCACTGTGATTCAAAAATTATCTTACAACTATTCCAAGTTTCCCAGTCTCCCCATTGTCTCCAGGAGGTCCTCGAATGCCCTTTAATTAAATCAAAATGTTTAGTTTAAAACGTACACAACTTTAGTTAACCGTTATTTCATTTACTGGATGAAAGATGAGTCCAATTAAAGACAGCAGATGAGTTTACCTTAAACCCTGCTGCCCCTTTTAATCCTTTCAGCCCTTTAGGACCTCTGTCCCCCTGTGAACACATCTCAGTCACGCACATATGAAACATTTCAGCATCAAGAAAATTATAAATATGAGTGATACATTACCACTTGCCCCCAGGTTCCTCTCATCCCTTTTTCACCTTTGCTTCCTTCTTCACCCTGAGGGTGTGAATGTAAGGTTTTGTTAAAACTGTATGAGAATGAGTGAAACAGAAGTGCAAGGTAAAGTCAGAACTCACTTTTGGGCCGGTCTCACCAATATTGCCATAGTCTCCTGCATTTCCACGGATTCCCTGAAAGTAATGAGAAGCAAACTTTTTTCAACTTCTGTTATGAACAAACCAGACCAAGAAACATTTTAAAATTTAAATATTAGCAATGATTTCCTCCAGAATGAAGCTGCAAGCTTCTTGGAGATAAAAGTTTGGCTATATCAAAGTTATGATGTCATAAATGTGACATTTTTTTCCTACTTTCTTGACACATTCTTTGATAAATGTTGTCAGGGTTTAATTTCAGCACAAAATCAGACTGGAAAACTGCCATGTACATAAGAGACATGAACCAATGTTTTTATGACGACTAAAAATAATTCCCCTTAAGTTAACTCAAATAAAAAAGAAAATGGACAGTCAAAGGGAAAATTTAGACATTATAAGTCATACATTTCTTAAAGTTTAACAAAATATTTAATTTACCAAAACACTCAGAGAGCTGTAACTTTTTATTTTGAACTAAATGCAAAAAAAAAAAGAAGAACAGCTGGTTTGCATTCATCCAAAGATAAAATCATTGGTCCCACCAGATGTTGTTTATCTTGTTTAAAAGCAAATTTAAGTTTAAAATGAAGCTTGGGTTGGATTTGTGTGACATGGTAGAAACATTAAATATTTTTCTGCCCATTATCCATTAAAATCTGTGAAGACTACACTAATTTATCCTACATCAGCCATTTGTAATGTTGTATTTGGCAGAGTAGTATTGAACAACATATTAGCATTTTAATTAGTGTTGATTTGTAAATTATTCGAACCCTTTGTTAGCATTTTAACTGTGTTTGGTAAGCAATGATTTTCAAAAGAGAAAAGTTTTTGGTCCTTTTTTTGTGTTTTGAAACCATGTTAGCACAAAGACTCATTTACCATGGAGCTACACGTTGTTATACATGTACATGCAAAATATAATTTACTCTAGGTGGGAGTTCTGCTCTTCAGCTCCCTGCAGCCACAGCTAACGCTAATCAGCAGCACCTGAGGATTATCGACTTGATGAGCAGGAGGAGCACAAAAGGCTGCAGAGGACATCCAGTCAGCGCTGGAGCATTACTTGCCAATGGCAGTTCTGTTCAAGACTTTTACTCATGAGTTAAACAGAATTTTTTTTTCACTTTAATTTTTATTAACATTTTCTATAATAAATAACATTTCAATTACATATCACATACATTTTACAGATAATAATAATAAAGTGCTATGTGTTGTCATCATTGCATGTTCCCATACAATGGCAAAATTGGCTCTCTGCATTGCTCCAGGTGGAGTGGTGGGCAGCTATTGAAAGCGCCCGGGGAGCAATTAGGGATATGGTGTGCTGCTCAGAGATGCCACGAGATGTGCAATGACTGGGGATTGAACCTGGGACTGTCGGGTCCCGAGTCAGCTGCCCTTCCTCTACCCCAGTTAAACCGAATACTGTATTTCTCTGCGCTTCCAGTAAATAATCCCTGATGTCCTTCTGTCCCATGGATTCTCCTCTGAGGACTTTGAGCTCTCCTGTGCCTCTTCAGACGCCTTCCTATCAATTGCCTATCTCCTGCCGTTGTTCAGACGAACACCTTCTTCACCTGGAACCATTTGGGTCAGCTCTCCCCACTACTGACTCCTACCTCTTATCGTAAGAAAGAGCAGCAACAACATTATCACCCCTGCCAACAGACCACTAACTATCTCCTTGCTCTTCAGGGTTCCAGCTCCCTCCCTGGTTCAGTGAATGATTTATCACCTTGTAATAAAAATTCTGAAATTTAGTATCTGTTCACCTTGATCCTTGTATCTAGGTATAACCAAAATTATTACTTTTTTATCTTTTTGTGGTCACCAAAATCCTTCCAGAAAAGGTCTAATCTCTTTAAGTGAAACAATTCATGTCAGCTTTTGAGCTGGGTTCCCATAAGCTTCTTAATCCAATTACTGTACTTTTTTTTTTTTTTTTTTTTTTTACTTGCTGCTGGGATCAAAATGAAAAAAATACATACATTAAAAAATATATGTTGTTTTAAAAATTGCTTTGTTTTCCTTTGAACTGCCTTTAATCTAATAGGTTTTAAATTTGCGGATTATTACATAATGCTTTATAACGTTTCAGACTGCATTCCCACATTTCAGGAAAAGGGTTGCATTTGTAACATTGGTGGAAAATACAGACTAGCAGGACTGGAGAAATATTAGTCATAAATACAATAAAATGGATCTGAATTGTTTGCACAGATGCTTACTTCCTCAGTAATAGATGGAAAAGTGTTTTCCACTGTACTGGCTGAATTTCTCTGAGTCAACAAACACATCAAACATGTCCCCGCCATCTTTGTGTTGTCAGTTTATTTGACCATCTCACCTACCAGCGTGTAGTAGGCAGAGTCAGCTGCTTGGAGGTTAACCTCAGAGATGGCTGACGGTACGGCGAGAGGCATGACCATGAAATTTACGACATCTCTGAGGCGGGACAGCTCATCCGAGTGAAGGACCACCCACTACCTGAGATGGACAGTTCCTAGATGTGTGCCAGGAAATGCCCTCCTTGGATGCCAGCAGAGAAGGCGATAAACATGTTTGGGCTACGTGACTCACAAGCAGGCAGGGGGTCAAAACTCTAACCAGTTACTAAGGACAGATGTTTGCTCCCAGAGCTACATCTGCAGCTGAAGACATGAACATGTTGCATGTAATGCTCTGGAAATGTGTTCAGGGTGGATGTCAGTCCAGGGTGTGTTTTCCCAGGCAGCAGGAGGACTTCGAGTGCAAAGGGCACAAAATCAAAACCAAAAAAACTTATGCTATAAACATGTTCTCCTGAGCACTTTTAAAACTCTAAGAGCTTAACAGTTGAGAATCAAAGAGATTAACAAGTCATAAATTCTAAGTGAAAATATTCACATATGTGACTCTCTGTAGGATAGAAGTTTTTGTTGTTCATTCAAAGATGTGCGTAAGTGGTTCCTTTCAACAGCGTTTTCCTGGTTTTCTCAATGAGGGCCTCCTCAATAAATTATTGCGGCTGAAATCTGAATAACTTCACACAGAGTTAAGCAGTTTAATGCCACTTCTTACCACACACTGGAGGCTCCACTGTCTGGTTGTTCCTGTGTGTGTGGGATTCATTACATCTGGCACATGTCAAAGCAAAACCATTAGAAACACTGCGAACTTAGTCATGTGAGATCCCTCACTTACAAGTAGCAGAGTCTGTGATTTAATATGCAAATGGTTATTTCAGAGATGCAAAAACACATTTATTGTCATAATGTGTTGGTTTGTGTATATTTTGGACATGTTCAAATGTTCTGTAAAACAGACATGAGTTATCAAACCATGATAGGAGCCTCTGTGTTTATTGCTCAACACATCTGCTTCCAGACATGTTCCCATCATGCTGTCTCAGTATTGC